AGCCGGAGCTGCCAAACGTCAGGACCGCGGAGATGTCGTCGTCGTCGCCGCCGGTGGGGGCTGCCAACGCCGCCATCTCGGCCTCGGAGAAAGTGGACGGTTTCACCCGGAAATCGGTGCGCAAGGCGCAGCGGCAGAAGCGCTCGCAGGGCTCGTCGCAGTTCCGCAGCCAGGGCAGCCAGGCGGAGCTGCACCCCTTGCCACAGCTCAAAGGTAACCTCGCAGGGCACAGCCCCGGGGTCGGGCGTCGGGGCGGGCTGAGCTCGGCTCCGCGCCCGCAGAGCCATTTCCTCCCGGGGCTCGGGTCTCCGGCCAGGCTGGGGCGCGTGGTGTGGGAGCCGTGTCCCCCGCTTTGCCTTGGCGTGGTCCCCCCGTCTTGTATTCAAACAGGTTTGCTGTGCACTGTCTTATCAGATTCACCTTAACTCTTCCCGTCTTAGGGACGGCCACCTTCCCTCGCACCTGCAGGCTCGCTGAACTTGCCCTCCGACTGGGACTCTTAACGCCCCGCAGGTGGAGTTCTTCACTCTGCCCCCAGGCTTGCCCTTTGCGCTTCTTGCTTTTACAACCGGTTTTATCTTCTGATCCTCCGTTTTCGGAGTCTCAACCTCTCTTTTCAGCCACTCAGCTAGTCCTTTACATTTTCAATTACAGTACAGCGGTCTGCACTCACTGTCTTCTCAGTTCCTCTTCCCATTGATAGGTCCGAAGAGTCATCACGTCCGGAATCCAAGTGTAAACAACGCTTAAGAGTTGGCTGGCTTTTAGGTGTATTTATTTTTTTAAAGCCTAAAAATCTTAACAGTGTAGTATCTTTACTTACTAAGTCGTCAGGTGTCAGTGGTTTCCTGTAGCGCAAGGAGTGGAAAGACTTAGAACATTACTGTCTGAGGTGGTACGGTCGATTTGGAGAAATACAAAGGAGTGTTCTCAGCAGTGGAGTGGGAACTTAGTTCACCAGGCAGTGTGATTCCAGGGACTTTGTAGATTTGTACAGTAATTCAAATTGGTATCCGTGCCTAATGCTTTGCAGGACAACTTGGCACTCCTTTTGGCTCACATTTCCCAACTAGATTTAGAGGGTTTTCGGCAAGTTGTTTCCCGGTGCTCTACTTTGTTCTTCGTGAATTACTAACTTTTATTTATAATTTTAATATCTTTGCTTTTTATGAGATAGAAGTCACTATGGAGCAAGATGATAATACTCCTCGACATTTTAAGAATTTGCAATCCAATAAACCTGATAGAAGTCTGGATAATCTGTTTTGCAGGGCCAGGAAATTAGAGGTTCATACTCAAATAGATAAATGTTCAGATTTCTCAATCCATTTGAAAAAGCTCCAGCAGCATCCCCTTCAAGGCCAATCTGGTTTTGATTTGTCTTTGAGCTGATGAATCCAGCCTTAGTTTGGCAAGGAGTCTAAAGAAAAACCCCAGATGAAATCACAGCCGACCTGCAATAGCTCTTAGGATCCCATTTAGTTTAGGGTGTTCTGCCCGTTGGGGTGCTTCTGAATCAAGGATATCCCACAGCCAGAATCAGACTATCTTTTGAATAGAGGTTTTATCTTTAGCATACCAAATAAAATCGTTAAAACGTCTGTCATGTGTGTAGTCAGTGGTAGACAGCAGTGGTAGGCATTGCCAAGACTTTAATTCTTGAAGGATGTTATAGCTGTAAAAGAATATCATCTTACCTGTTGAAACATTGAAATGCTATTCATAGATTTAGAATTTTACTCTTAATTCAAACAGCTATTTTTATACTATTGATTTTTTTCATTTTCATTTTTCTTGCAGTTTGAAGGTTTAGCACAGGATTTTTCTTATGTTCATTTAATTTGTCTTTTAGTAAGGTGTTTTAGTATTGTACTTGCTAGTATTTATTTAAGGAATTAATTAATTAATTAATTAATTAATTTATTTATTTATATTTGACCAGAGAGGGACAGAGTGAGAGAGGGAAAGTTAGAAAGCAAGCCACCAGGTTTGGGACTGGAACTGTGGTCAGCTTTGTGGGAGCCCAGCGCCCTTAACCACCATGCCACCTGCTGGCCCCTACTTGCTAACATTTATTCACTTTTACTTAATAAAAATAATCAGTATTAAACATACGGCTGGTTTCAATCTGGAGATGCAGCATTAATATATTTTGCTTTTAAAACCCTGGCAAAAGTATGCATAGTCAGTAGTCTTTTACTTATATGGTGTGTGATTCAATAAGCTAAAGGTACCATAAATGTTTCACTTATAGTATTTGATCACTATTCAAAAAAAAATGAAATTGGAACTTTAGACTAATTCTAGATATTTACAAGAAAATACAATGTTCCTCATAAGGAAAGTTATGTATTCAAGATAAGTTTATGCAAATTTATTTGAGGAAATGAGACCTTTACTTGGATTACTCACTAATAGGAAAAACTGCTCTTACAACAGATGCCAAAATGCTTGAAAAGTGAGTTTTTTTTTTTTTTTAATTCAGTTGCTTGACTTGGTACTTTGGCACTGTACTTGATACCTCAGTGTTTTTTTTTTTTTTTTTTCTGTCAGTAGTAGTTTTTTCCATTTGTGGCCTTAACAAAAAACAGTGGAAAACTCTTTAGTATGTGTATGAAAGAGGATTTTTCTTCCTGCTCTGTAATATAATCATGCTGTGGAGTGATTCAGATAACTGGGCATCCAAAATCTTTCAAGTGTTTATACCAACCTGCTTATGTTACACTTTGTCCACATGGGTCCAAACTGGAAATGTGCCAACTAGTTTTCCTCAAAGCACACTATGAGTAAGGATTAACAAAATAATCCAGCCTTTTCATCTATAAGAAGTTTATTTGTGCAAAATCATTTAGTAAGTGGGTTGCAGGATTTTAATGACCAAAGTGTTCAGAATAAATTCTGTTTTGTTACAGAAAGAATTTAATAGATGAGCCTTGTTAAAAGGTTTTTTCTTTTTGGTATATTTTTAAAATGAGAAACTTATGTGAGTCCTAAAAATTAAACTTACTTATATTGTAAAGCCAAATAAATTCTTTTCAGAATTTTTTAAAATCTAGTTATATTAATCGAGCTCCTCTGAGTGCTAGATCCTAGAAAATAAAATTAGGAACATTTTATCAGTCTTTTTTTTTTTTTTGTACCACACTCCTCAATGAAGTGTAGTCACACTGCAGTCCCTTATCTGTGTTTCCATCCTGTTGAGATTTTGGACACTCTTGTGCACCTGATGTGGTTTTCAAGCTGCCGGGGCTGGGATTTGATCCAAGTTTGGACATGTGGGATCTGTCCCCTTTTAACTGCTAGGCTATAGGGCCAGTCCTATTGTTTTTTCTTTATTTAAAATTTATATTAACATAGGACCTAATTTTCTACCTTAAACTTTTCACATGGTAACCAACAATTAGGAAACTTAACTTTAAAAATCTGTTATCCATACCAGGAAGTTTTTTTAGTCTTTTTAACCTATTTTGTTTAAGTCTGTGGAAGGAATGGTTTGGTCAAGTGATTGATACCTTACGTTTATACAACATTTTAGTATTTTCAAATTATTTTACCTTTTTCTTTCATTCTTTTTCTTATCACCAGAGGATATGTGCAGTCAGAGGGAGAGCACGCGTGCATGCGAGCAAGAGAGAGAGAGAGAGAGAGAGAGAGTCCCCCCAATGGGATATGGTCATGCTACAATCTTTTTTTCCTTTATTTCCCCGGCCTGTAAGGATTTGGAACATTCCCTCCTGGCCTGTTTGCCAAGAACTGTGGCGGCCCACAGGCTCTAGCTTCCCATTCACACTACTTAAAAACTGTATTGTGCAGCTGGCCCACTTTTTTCATTTTTAATTATAAAACAGTAATGCTTATGACATATAAAACAATCTGAAACCATGAAACTCCTAATCCCTTTTATCACTTGTGTTTTCACACCTACTAGGTTAATTCTGATGTGTGATGGTTCATGGCTTAATATGTTTTTGCCATTGTATTTCATTGGGTCATCCCAGCAACTTTTTGCAAAACCAGTATTCCCATTTTATTGATGAGAAACTTGAGGCTTAAACAGATTAATTTCAGGTCTGTGATTATTTATCTAAATGTGTTGGAACTGACTGACCCTAGGACTCAGATCCAGTGATCTCAATTTTTTTGTTGTTAACCTATTTCATGTCAATTTAAAGCAGTGTGATAGAGTTGGGTCACTAGGGTCGATCCTGGGTCAAAGGTAAATTTTTAATTTTTTGAGTAATTTTCCTGATCCGCAAAATGGGGACAATACCATCTATCGTCCCAGGACTGTGGGGATTAAGTGAAATAATTGCCTGAGAGAATAGTCAAAGAACTTTCTCTTTGATATTTGTCACATTAAAAATATTTGTAAATGAAGGATTATTAATAGGATTACATAAATAGTAAAATTTTTTAGTGTATTTAGAATGTGATTTTATTTATAATAAATTTTCAGATCATTTATGAGATGTAAGATGAAGCTATAACATTTTTCATCCTGAGTATAGATGTGGAAATAGAGTAGTCAAACTCTTTGAAATATTAAAGATCATGGTAAGAATATTTTACAAAACAGAAATCGAATTAACTAGTAGAATTGTACAGATATGTATTTCTCCTAGGAGACAGTAAAAAGCAGTAAAAGCAAAGTAAAAAGCGAAGAACAAACTGAAACTGCTTTTGAGATTGAAGTCCTTTTTAGGTGAAGAACTTCCCAAGTATCATTCAGGTTCTTTGTTGACCCAGTCTTGGAAACTAGGTCCTACCAGAAGTACCAAGGCTAGTGATAGTGGTGCTGATGGAAGTGCCTTGCTTACTTTTAGTAGGGAACATGTTTGTTTTCTTGAGGTATATGGTCTTCCATGGTAATTGTGGAACAAGAACAGATGTAATATGAAGCTTCATCACTATCTTAACTTTTTTTTGTTGGGAAAAAAAAGCACTGTATCTCACTCAACTTTTAAGATTTATCAATCTTGGGACCAGCAAATGACGTAATGATTCTGTTGCTGGAGTCCCACAAGTTGACTACGGTTTGAGTCCTTGGACATGTGTAGGCCCAAGATTTCTCACTTTCTGTTTCTTTCAGTATCTCCCATGAGTACATGCACCCTATAGCAAAAATATCTCTCTCAAAAAAAGAAAAAAAAAAAAAAAGATGTATCAATCTTCTCAGGGCCAGCAGGTGGTGTGGTGGCTAAGGCTCACTAGACTCCTACATGGTAGACCATAGTTAGAGTCCTGGAGGTGGGGGGCGGGGTTGGGGTGCTGAAAATCACACTGGGCATGTGTGAGAGTCCGTGCCCAAATTTCCAGGAGAAAGGAGGAGAAGGGATTTCAGCATGACCCTCCTCCCTGGGGGGTGATTTTTCACTCTCCCCTTCCAGTCTTCTCAAAGTTGATATTCCATCTAAACACAAAACCCTTTTTTTTGTATTGGGATGACCCTAAAGGATAATTGAAAATCCTATTAAGAATGTTTACAAAGGGATATAACATTTTAGTCATTTTAGGACTATTTTCTGAAAGTCATCTCTCTTTTGGAAGACTTTAAATTAAAAAAAAAGAGACTTTTAAAGGATATGCTTCTTAGAGAAATTACTAAATACAATGTCTATTGCTAGTCTTCACATGAAGGAAAAACTTCTATTTAAATAGAAGTCTAATTTATCATCTTCAGAATAACAATTTCACACCACCACCCCCCAAATATATTACCTTCTCTGTTTCTTAATTTAAGTTTGGATTATTTGAATGAAGTATCTGATTGAATAAAGTGATAATTCAGTAAAATATATTTGGTAAAATAGTGTGACCAGTTAGTGTAGAGCACTCTCCTGTAAATAGTAGACTTAAGTTGTCTTCCTGCATCAGTGATGACTCATGGTTGCTTTGGGCTGTTTAACCCCTCTGAACTTCAGTTTAATCATTTTCACCTGTAAGGGTAACATTTTCCTGTGATAAAATCATAAAGGTGAATTAGTCTTTAATAAGTTATTGCTGTTTGGATTTCAAAGATGGGTTTATCAACAGCAGTAATACATTTGGGGAGTAGGTTTTTTTGTGTGTGTGCCTAATTTTTAATATTTAGCTTTTAAAATGGTAAACATCTCGGAATGGAGACTAGTTCATTTTTATATTTATGTGTTTAACATTCTTGTTTTTAATCCTTGTTATATACGTGGAGAACTTTAAAGACAATGTCAAGCCTGAACCCCTTTCCCAAGAGATTTTTAAGTTAATTGGTCTAAGGTAGAATCCAGGCATATGTATTTTCAAAAACTCCCAGGGTGAGGGACCAGCAGTTAGTGTAATGGCTATGTTGCTGGACTCTCAGAGACCTGGTGGCTTAAACTCATGCAGGGCGTGTGTGCCGCTTTCTGCCTCAATAAATAAATAAATAAATAAATAAATAAATAAATAAATAAATAAATAAATAAATAAATAAATAAATAAAAGAAGCTCCCAGGGTTATTCTAACGTGCAGCAAGAGTTTAGAATCACTAGTGTAGCATTATCTGTCTATTGATTTAATTCATTAATTGAGACTTTGTTCTTTTCTTTCTGATACTCATGGCTCATTACCCTGCCTATTAACATTTCCTGCCCTTCCTTCACCTCCTGCTGTTTACATTTCACTTTCTTAACTGTGCTGCCCCCTGTGGCTAATCAGCTGCTCTTTCCTGAAGGGGGATAGCGCTGTTACTAGGTTGTCAGGAAAGTCCTGACTTTTTTTCTGTTTTCCTGTGCAAAAATGCGTCAAGACTTTACTGACAACACAGTAGATTGTGGGGTTGGAGGTATTATGAAATGATTCTAGTTATTGAATTTTACCATAATGAAAACCCAACTATTATCATTTTGCCAAGTGGTCAGTTTTCCTTTCTCTGTGATTTTAGGAGATGGGTCTGAACTGGCAAGTAATATTGAGAACATAGGATAGAGATTTGCTTTGTTTTCATCCCCATCATTCAGAACAACAGGTGATATGACTGCTATAGAATGTGAAACTAATTTTCTCTGTAAGTTCACAGCGTTGTTCTGCATCTTGAAGAGCTAGACCTAACATTACCACTATATGTATTGAATACATGGTGTTGAACAGATTAACTATTCTAAACTTAACTGTGTTTTTGGTCATGTCTTATATTTATTTTACATCAAGAAACTCTTTTCCAGGCCAGCAGGTGGCATGGTGGTTAAGTTGCTGGAATCCTCACATGGCCGGCCATGGTTTGAGTTCCAAACCTAGCAGCTTGCTTTCTCACTCTCCCTCCCTCTCTCTCTCTCTCTCTCTCTGGCAAAACTCATGTGAAAAATAATATTAACCATAATAATAAATAAATAAATAATTCTTAAAAAAAAAAAAAGAAACTCTTTTCTCCCAAGTGTTTTCAAGTCTATCATCATATTTCTTTCTTTCTTTTTTTTTTTGGAGAGATTTTTGCTATAGGGTGTGTGCATTCGCCCAAGAGACAGAGACAGAAAGCGAGAAATCACCCCCCAGGGGGGATGGCCATGCCGCAATCCCTTCTCCTCCTTCTCCTCTTGGGATCTTGGGCACACACACACACACACACACACACACACACACACACACCCGGAGTGAGTTTAAGCCATCAGGTCTGGGACTTGAACCGCGGCCAACTACATAGGAATCCAGCGACATAGCCATTACTCTAACTGCTGGTCCCTATCATCATATTTAATTTTGAGCACAGCTTTTTATCAAAGGTAAGGCAGTGAAGATCCAAGGCTACTTATATATATATTATTTAAGTATATATTATATATTGCTGTTTCATCTTTGGCCTTTCTACTAATGAATTTGATTAATCCTTATTTTTTTAAATTGTTTTTGATGAATGTTCAGTTGTTAATGTAGTGATGTTCTTTTTCCAGAATGAGATAGTGATCTTTTTCTGTGAAAGCAGAAGTCATTATCTGTTTTTTTCCAATCCCATTATGACAACATACAGTATTCTGTGCATAATAAATGCGCCCATATAGACAGAATCACTGTTTTGATAAATTACCTGTTGGTTATCTTCTAGTCTAGTTACTGATTGTGCTTTCTGCAGTGCTGTGTGGTACTGTCTACCAAAGATTGATTCTCTTTTGTTTTTTGTTTTAATATATCTGTGCCTAAAATTGGTTCGAGGTTATTTAGAGTAAATTAATTCTGGGTTCCTAATATTTGATAGTAAGTAATATAGGTTTAAAGCAAAGGATTGTTCTTGTGTTTGTGTTTTGTTAATGACTGGTGTGAGTGACTTGTAACATTATCAATAGATATGTTGCTAGAAAGTTATTGTGTAAGATTTGGGTGGAAAAGTAACAGTGCGTTGACTCTGAGACATGGGCTGTGTATATAAACATTGAATAAACTGTGAAATAGTTTGCAGTAATTTCTAAATTTTAGGTGCAGTCTTTATAAGGATGCCCTTGAAGGAGATGAAAGGAAAAGATTTAAAATATGTAATTACTTGTCATAAGTTATTATGTAACAAGACACCTAAATGCTTTGCTGAAAGTTTTACATGACAGACTGGGTTTATGCAAAATAGACCATACTTGTCTGAACAGGATATTTACTAATAAGCAGTTTCAAGCCTATTTTTATGTATTATCTTTTCAAACTCTCCCCTGGAAAAATTTGTTTATGTGGGCTTTTGAGTAGTGAGGAATTTTAGAAATTCTGTAAATTTGTTCAGGTTACTGGAATTTTTTTGTTTTGTTTTATTTTATTTTGTAGTTTGCTTAATACAAGTTCTCGTGAGGAAACTCAGAAAACCTGTTTTACACTTGGATACTGCAGGTAAAGGATTTTATGGGAACGCACTCCTCCTACTGGAATGGTGACGCTTATTGCACCTCCTAGAACCTCACAGCGATAGACTATTCGAGCCTTCCAGTGCTGAACGGAACCTCAGAAGTCATTCTTGTTCAGTCTCCATTGGGAATTAATTTCACTCTAGTTTTTAATAGCTGTGTTGTCATTTCATCAGAGAAGCTTTCTTTAAGGTAGAACAGAAAGTACTGTACAGGGTTTATAAACTACTAGTACACTTTCAGGTTTCGCTTAGTTAATGAATAAGCTGTATAGACAACTAAAGAGGTTCGATGCCTGAAACAAGAATTTTTAAATGAATAGACTTAGAATTTGTAGTTTAGGAGAATCAAATCTTAAATATAGTTCAGAAATTGTGTATCTTAATTGGTTTTGCCTTTGTTTCACATGTAGTGATGGTAAAGGATATTCTAGAATTTCAGCTACTACCAGAAGTTAGTGATTATTTAAACTAATTGTTAATCCTGTATTTCTAAATTGATAAAAGTGAAAAAGCTGGGGCCATTTTTGTTACATACTTGAATTTTTTTTTTTTTAATCTTGCCAGAGTTCATGTACTCGCTAGAGAGAAAGAGAAAGAAAAAGAAAGTGATTAAAGCACCCCCCCCCATGGGGGATAGACATACCACAGTCCCTTCTTCTCCATTTTTTCTCTCTTTGGGATTTTGGCACAATTACACATGTGTCTGGCTCTGTTTTCCAAGCTGCTAGGTCCAGGACTTGAATGGCATAGTTAGCCCTATGTGATCCAACCGCCTTAACCATCTTGCCCCTGACTGGCCCTACACCTGAATTTTGATTGGCAAAACTGTGTGGGATTTTAAACATCTATGGGCTCCTCCACTGCCTAGTGATTAAGAGAGCAAATTCCCATGTTGGCTGACTGCATTTCAAATCCCAGTCTGGCAGCCTGAGAAACAAACTAGGTGCCTAGCGCCCCAAATCCCAACAGGATGAAAAAATGGGAAAGGTATTGCAGTATGACCATGTCCCATTGGGGAGTGCTTTCTTCCCTCTCTGTCTCTCTGGCAACACATGTACTCTTTAGCAATTAAAAAACAGGTATCTTTCAAATATATATTTAAAAATTAGACTTTAACCTTTACTGCTATTCTTTTAATTGCTCGGATTTACTTTTGCCTACTGTAAAATTGACACATACTTTGTTTTCAATATCTAGTACTGAGATATCTCATAGTGCTTAAAATTTAGCTGAACCATTATAGAGATTAAAACTTAACTCAGAAAAATAAATAAAATGATGAAGGCTTCATTTTTTGAAATTAAACATCTTTTGGAGCTGTTAGTTGGTAGGGAATACAGACTTAAACAGGCAGTTTCAATTAGTGTGGTAAATTTAGGAAGAGTGAGCTCTAAGATGTTAAGGGGGAGTAGGGAGTATGGGCAGGACCTGACCTAGTTTGGGTATGGAAGGGGAGAGATCAAGAAAAACTTCCTGGAAATATTTCAGGTTAAGAGACTGAAAATGCCAGAGGTGAAAGGCTAAAAGATAGATGGTATCAAAGAGGTCCATCAAAAGGACAGTATGTGCAAACCTAGCAGAGGTAGATGAGCATATCTTATTTTGGGACTTGCCAGCTATTTATGTGGCTGTGATACAGAATATAGCTGGATTAGCTCGAGAAGGCACTGGAGCAACAGTGGGCATGTAGGTCATAGTCTTGATGCTGTGTTGAAGAATAGATGTGGGCATTGTACTGCAGTTGTACCTGATGGGAATATGAAGAGTATGTTGGGAGATGAGAGTGAGTAATACTAGTTAGGATGCTAGCACAATAATCAGACAGGAGTTGAAGATGGTCTTGTCTATGGGGATGGCTTGATCCCATCGGCAGGACTTGTAAAAAGCAAGAATCAACAATGATAATAACATTTCTGACTTGTCCAACTAGATATATGATAGTAGTTTACTGACAGGGAAAAAAGACAAATCAGATTTGGCATGCAAAGATAATGATTCTTTGTTAGACAGGTTTATGTGCCCGTGGGAAATTCAAGTGAATGAGTTTGCACAGTAGGGAGTCAGAAAATTCAGGTATGGAGCTAAGTAGAGAGATCTTGCTAGAGCTAACAATTCGGGAGTCTTTAGTTTATAGATGGTATTTGAAACAATGGGAGAAGTGACTGCCCCCAAAAATGTATGCAGGGAAAAGACGCCAGGGAATGGTAACACGTAGATATTAATCAGTGGAAAAGGAGCAGTGAAGTGGCAATGGAAATGGCTTGAATGGAGGTAAAGGTACAGGAGGACAGGGGAGAGTAGAGACAAGACTGTCAGGGAAGACACTCTTTTAAAAACTAGGGGATGAGGGAGGCAGCAGATGGCGTAGCAGTTATGTTGCTAGACTCCCACATGGTCAACCATAGTTCAAGTCCCAGACCTGATAGTGTGAAGCTCACACTGGGAACATGCATGACCGATATCCCTGGAGGAGAACAGCATGGCCATCCCTCCTAAGGGGTGATTTCTCACTTTCCCTTTCTGTCTCCCCCACCTCCCTAGCACATGCACCCTAAGGCAAAAACCTCTACAAAAAAAATACACACAAAAACTAGGGGGTGGGTGGGTAACAATGAAGAGCTGTGGACAAGTCAAATAATTGAGAAGTTTCCTTGGACTTGGTAGTCTTTACGCATTATAGATGGCTTGAAAGGCATTTTAGAGGACTGATAGACTTGAAACAAGATTTCTATAAGGTAAAGAGTGAGTGGAAATTGTGAAAGTTGAGTCAGTAAATATCATCAACTCAGTTTTGGCAGAGTTTCCTTTTTTTCTTTTTCAAATTGTCGTAGCTGCTGTGTAGAGAATGAATTGTTGTAGAACAAGTTTTTTGGTGTGTTCTTTTTAGAACAAGATTTTTAGAAGGACAACTAGTCGGAAGAATTTTTTTTAAAAGGGGTTTTTGTCTTAGAGCACATATACTCCCCGGGGTGGGGGGGGGTACGGGATGAGAAATAATCTCCTTTTGGGAGGGTGGTCACATCACAATCCCTTCTCCTTCTGGGACTTTGGGCACACACGGATGTGTGCCAGGTGTGATTTTCAAGCCACCTGGTCTGGAACTCAAACCACAGTCAGCCATTTGTGAATCCAGTGGCTGTGTAAGCGCTATGCCATCTATTGGCCCGAATAATATTATTTTGTAATAGACTAAGTAAGACAGGGTGTATGTTGGGCTTAAGTGAGTAAACAGTAAAGATGGAGAGAAAGAGATGTATTTGAGATATACCTTAGAACTTGTTAATGAATTGTTTGAGGAGAGTTGGGAAGGTACAGGTAAGAGTTGAGGATGAATCCCAGGTGTTTTAGCTTGGACACTTGCATGGACTGGGGCCACAACCTCTATTGAGAAGGAATATACTGGAGAAGGAACCAGGTATAGAGGGAAAATCCAGAGTCGTATTTTGGATATTTTAAATTTTAGATGTCTTTGGGAGCGCAGTTAAAAATACCAAATGGATATTTGGAAATGTGAATCAGAGTGCCCATTTGGTAATTTTTGTGACTTCTAAACAAACATTAATTACATTCTTATTTTTTTGGCCAGAGGATGCGTGCATACACGTGAGAGAGGAGAGGCAGAGAGAGAGAGAGTGACAGTTCCCGTTATGGAGCTTAGTCATGCTGTAAATCTCTTTGCTTTGATTCTTCATCCTGTCAGGACATTGGGCATGTGTCTGCTATATAAACTGCTGGGATTGGGATTAGGACCTTGGTCAGCCATGCAGGATCTGATTGGCTTCTTCTACATAGGGTTTAATCAGTGCACTACATGACTGTACATTTTTAACTTTTAGTGGCCTTCCATGACTTTGAAGTTTGCTTATTTCAAAAGATGGTCATAGTTGGGGGTGCTGGCTTCTTGACCGTCTGGGCAAATTGGGATTATCTATTCTCTACTCGATGGAATGTCTTCTGCCACATGGCAAAATGTTCATGGCATGTGCATAAGGGAGAACATAAAATATGTTGGGACAAGTGCATAAATAAGATTATTTAATTACCTCATTTCTGCATTTACACTGTGTTTTGAGACCTGAGATCTATATCTTTCTAGTCAGCATTTAAGCAGTCAGTCATTTTACTGTTTATTTAATAATGAAATAATGAAACAAAAACTATTAAATTGATTTTTTAAAAAATACCATTTCATATCATGCAGGAATTCACACTTTATAATACTTTATAATGTTTACATACAACACCAAATTTGTTAGCATTTTGCAAACAGGGAAACCAAAACCTAGGTAGGTTAATATTCTCATGCAGATAATTTATAACTTGATCTTCTCAATTAGTTACTGATTATTCCTCTTTAGCATTAAACTGAAGATGTATATTGTTTGCACTAAAGCCAAATTGAACACCTATTTTCTGACAGTGCAAAAGGGAAATATTAGTGGGAGCCAGCAGGTACCACGGTGGTTAAGGTACTAGACTCCCATATGGTTGACCGTAGTTCAAGTCCTGGACCTGGTGGCTTGAAAATCACTCCAGGGGTGTGTGTGTGCCCAAAATCCTGAGAGGAGAATGGAGGAGAAGGGATTGTATTGTAGCATGGCCATCCCCCTAGGGGGTGATTTCTCACTTTCCTTCTCATTGTTTATCTCTCTCCAGTGAGCTTAGGAGCCCTATGACAAAAACCTTTAAAAGAGAGAGAGAGAGAGGTATTAGTAATTGAGAATGTTTCTAAGATACTGGTTTCTTTAGTTACTGAACAAATAGACCAATATTGAATATAGTATTTTCTAAGAACTTTGAAGCAGGGGATCTTTGCTACTTACATTCTTCTGATATAAAGGTGTTTCATTGATCTTTGTAGCACTCTCCTACCCCTTTAATCTAAAATTTTTTCTCACAAAAAATTGTAAAACGTTTGTTTTATAAATGAGTACTAAGAAACAAGATGAACTAAACTGTTAATCACTCAGCACATTTGTGTCAC